CTCCTCCTCCTCCTCCTCCTCCTCCTCCTCCTCCTCCTCCACTCCCCGTCCAGGGGCGCCGGTGGTCCATGCCATCGGGGAGACTCTTGGACGAATGCGGATCATGCCCGCGCCTGGGCGATTCTTCGGTGGCAACCCATACGTACAATTTTCGGTTTCGTGCGCGTATATTTCGGAAGGTGACCTCAAATGCTTCTCGATGGTCCTTGCCTAGAAACAAGGCGCACGTCCAAGCGATGCCGAGCCGTACGAATCTAGCCGTGGCGACGATCGCGGAGGCCCAAGGCATGCGAAGAGCAGCCGAAGGCCTCACGCCTGAGTCCCGGGATCGAAGGCAAGACCGCCGCAGCAGGTGAGGTCCTGTCTTGCAGACGCCGAGGCTCGACTCGGAGGCCTTCTCGCGCTTGTTGCCCCACTGCCAGACCTCGAGTGCGGACCCACGCTCATCCCCCGTCCAACCGTAGACCTCCATCCCGCCATTATCATTATCATTATCATCATCATCAGCATCAGCATCAGCATCAGCATCAGCATCAGCATCATTATCATCATCATCATCATCGTCATCATCATCATCATCATCATCATCATCATCATCATCATCATCATCATCATCATCATCATCATGTTCATCATGTTCATCATCATCATCAACACCACCAACATTATGATTATCAGCGTCATCAGCAGCGTCATCATACTACTCATCATCATCATCATCATTATCATCATCATCACCATCATCATCGTCATCGTCATCGTCATCATCATCATCATCATCACCATCATCATCATCATCATCATCAGCATCAGCATCATCATCATCATCATCATCATCTTCATCATCATCAGCATCATCATCTTCATAATCACCATCATCACCATGCTCATCCTCATCAGCAGCACCATCATCGTCATTGACATCGTCATCATCGTCATCAGCATCATCATCGTCATGGTCATCGTCATCATCATCATCATCATCATCATCATCATCATCACCATCGTCATCATCGTCAACGTCGTCATCGTCGTCATCATCACCATCTTCCTCCTAATCAAAATCATCATTGGGATCTTCATCACCATCATCACCATCAGGATCCTCATCGTCACCACCGCCACCATCATCATCAACATCAGCAGCATCACGGGCACCAGCACCAGCGTCAGCACCATCACCATCATCATAATCACGATCACCATTCTATTCAACACCATTATCATCCGAACCGTCGTCATCACCAACATCAATATCATTATCGGCATCGACATCGTCACCATAATCACCATCATCATCATCATCACCACCATGATCATCAATATCATCATCATCAGCATATCCGTCAACGTTCTCACTCAGAGCACTACCACTGCAAGCATCATGCCCATCACCATCATCATTATCATCATCATCACCTTCACCATCAGCACCATCACCACTGCAATCATTATCATGATTGTTGCCAACACCATCGCCATCACCACCACCACCACCACCACCATCGCCACGCCCGTCACCGGCATCACCATCACCATCACCAGCACCATGATCATCACCAACATCACCATCATCGTCGTCATCTTCCTCATCATCATCACCATCATCATCAGCATCATCATCACAAGTACCTTCACCATCACGATCACCATCGTCGTCACCATCAACATCACAATCACCATGACGATCGCCATTATCACCATCACCACCATCAACATCACCATCAAGGCCTGGGCACGAGCTCGCGGGACGGACTCGGGATGAGGGGGGGGGGCGAGTAGGTCCTTCTATATTAATTTCACCATATCCCAGGTATGGGAATATTGCTAAAGTAATGTCTCCTCCGCCGCCTCACCTCACCTCCTCCCTCCCGCTACTTTCCCTCATACTCAAATGAGTTCGCAATCACGTCCACCCAGACCCACTCACACTAACACTCCCACTCATTCAAACTCAGACCACTCATACTCAGACGGAATCGCACTCACACCTTAGCCACACGCAGATTCACCAACCCGCACATCTACTCACACTCAGACCCAATCATGCCTGGGTCCTCATGGGTATAACAACCACGCTCGGAGTCAAACGTCGCAATCCGCTAGGACTGATGCGTAGTTACTCACACTCGACATGGGGGAGCCGATAAGGGTGATGTTTGCCACATCCCAGGTACGGGTTCTTGTTGTCAGTGGCTCGCCCCCGCCTCAGCCTCACTCTCGCCTCCCCCTTCCCAACCACCATTCAATCCACACATACGTATCCTGACTCACGCAGGGGTCACTCCGGTCCAGAATCGCCCAGACACACAAACTCACCCACTCTCAGACCGACTCCTTCGCAGACCCGCTATAATTCACACTCGCTCACGCTCCAACACACTTCATGCTGCCATGCTGCACTGGTGTGGAGGCGTTTTGCGTTCGCAGGGAACTGTGTGTTACGTACTGTCCGGCAGCGTGACTGAAAATGCGGCGCATGGGAAATCGTATTTCCCACGCATGGCTCGCTGTGCTAGTCGCCGTTGCGCATTTGCATGTATCAGATGTGGGCCCTGAAAATGTGGAGGTCGACATGTCTACCCAATTCAGAGGTGACGGGTCTAGCTTTTGCCTGTCATAAGTCGCAGAGCCTTGCCTTCCGCCACACCCCTCCCTCCTCCCAGCTCCTGATCCCTCGTCGTTGTCCTATCTCCTCCTCGGTCCCCACTCCTCCGCACCCCCCCTCCTCCTCGTCTTCAGGCGTTCCAGCTCCCTCCCTCCTCCGCATCCCCCCTCCCTCCTCCCAGCTCCTGATCCCTCGTCGTTGTCCGATCTCCTCCTCGGTCCCCGCTCCTCCGCATCCCCCCCCCGCTCCTCCGCATCCCCGCTCCTCCGCATCCGTAACTCGGGTTTGGATTCCCCAAGCACGAACCCGAGTTAGCCCTGACCCGAGTTACCCCTGATGATTCGGGGCTCTGATCCTCCGCATCCCCCCTCCTCCCCATCTTCGGGCGTTCTCTGCACCGAGGGCGTGGACCCCGCCCCCCCCTCCTCCTCTTCCTTGCTCCCTCCCGCTCCGCGCGACGGCGGCCACGAGGACGACGGACGACCACGACAGGCGCTCTTTGTGCCAAGGGCGTGGACCCCCCCCTCGTTTCCGTTTCCCCACTTTCCTTCTGGATATCTCCTACTCCTCCCTGTCGCACCCCGAGGCCGGTCGAAAGGGCGGGCCGGGCGTTTCGCCTGAGGTTCCTTACCATTTATGCGCCTCAGGCTCGACAGACTGGCATCAGATTCACCGATGGAGGGCGTGTCGCTTCAAAAATGCAGCTCTCGCCTCAGCGCCGCGCACATGCGCTTTAAACATGCACAAGATTTCCACGGATCGAAGGCGGGTCGTGTTCAACATGTGGCTCTCGCATTAGCGCCGCGCACATTCGTTCAAAACATTGCCAGACATTCACATGTTAATAGCGTTGGTTTTCAACATGTGGCTTTCGCCTCACCGCTGAGCGCATCTGTTTTGAAACGTTGCAGGAGCATCACGGGTTGAGGGCGGTTCCTTTAAAACATGTGGCTCTCGCCTTGCAGAAGCTTCACGGGTCCCATGGTCAACGTACCAGGATTGCGAGGGATAAACAATTACGTTGGTTCGCGGTGTTGAAGTCCCAGGAATGGTGTCTGGGCTTCAATGAGGTTTATCGAGACGCAAGAGTCAGGTTGATCAGTGGTGTTGGGGTTCCGAGGATGGTGTTTTGGGACCCTTCCGGATCTTCCAACGGTTGTCCCCCAACGAGGCAGTTCTCCCTATGGAAATGAACCCCCGTAGTGGCCAATGAAGCGGGAGCTTCAAGGGAGGCTTTACAATATTCCAACATCGCTGATGGGTCTGAGGCTCGCATTGGTCCTCCTCCTCCTCCTCTTCATCCTCTCCCTCCTCCTTCGTCGTCTTCTTGTTCTTGAGATCAGTATCCTCATCCTCCTCCTCCTCATCCTGTTCCTCCTTCATTATCCCTCCTCTCCTCCTCCTCCTCCTCCTCCTCCTCCTTCTCCCCCTCCTCCTTCTTCTCCTCCTCCTCCTCCTCCTCCTCCTCCTCCTCCTATCTTACTCCTCCTCCAGCTCCACCGCGGCAACAAAACGACGGCGACCACGGATGACGACGACGACCACCAACGCCACCACGACGACGACAAGCTCCCTCTGCGCCGCTTCGGCGCCTCGTCGTCGCCCTCGCCCTCCACGCCCTCCCCGTCCTCGCCCTCGAGGACGCCCTCGAGGGAGCCCGCCAGGAACCCTAAGGGTGCTCTCGAGGGCGCCCGCGGGGTCCCTATGTCCTAGCCCGAACGGGGCGCGCGCCCACCCAGCCCCGCCAGCCCCCCCCCCGAAGCGCGACGTCCCTGGCCCTTGTCGCCACCGCCCTCGGCGGGGGCGGATGGGCCGCCGCCGCCCGCCGCCGCCGTCGTCGTCGTCGTCGTCGCCGTCGCCGTCGTCGTCGCCGCCGACGTCGGCGCCCAGTGCTCGTCCTCGCCGCCCTCGGGTGGCGGGGCCGGCGCCTCGCACTTCGGGTCCGCGCAGCAGGCCGCTCGGCACAGGTCGGCCGTGGTGCTGGGGCGGCGGGTCCGCGGCGGCGGGTCCGCGGGGGCGGCGGGTCCCCGGGCGTGCAAGAAGGGGGGGAGGACCCAGACCCCCTCGAGTCATGACAAACATCACGAGGAGGAGGAGGAGGAGGAGGAGGAGGAGGAGGAGGAGGGGGAGGGGGAGGAGGAGGAGGAGGAGAAGGAGGAGGAGGAGGAGGAGGAGGAGGGGAGGGGGAGGAGGAGGAGGAGGAGGAGGAGGAGGAGGAGGCGTCCGTTCCCAGACCCCCTCGAGTCATGACAGACATCACGACGGGAGGGCTTCCTACGTTCTCGGCCTCCGGGGGCCCTCGCCGGCCCTCGCGAGGCCGTCAGAGAAGGGCTCGGGGTGGAAAGACCGGTCGCGGCGAAGAGGTCCGGACCTCTGGGGGTCGCGTCGTGGAAAAATCATGGCGTCGGGGGTCTTGGGAGTGGGGGAGCGGCGGGGGGGAGGGAAGGGGAAGGGGTCGAGAGGAGGATCGGCAGGATGGTGGTGATTGTGACGTCGACGGTGACGATGCTGGTGATGATGGTGATGATGGTGATGGTGGTGATGATGACGGGGAAAGAAGGGAGGAGGCGGAGGAGCAGGAGGAGGAGGAGGAGAGGAAAGGATGAGAAGGCGGAGGAGGATGAGGAAGACAAATTTGAGGAACGGGGGATCGGAGTATCGAAATCCTTCAGAGTGCACGGGCCAGCAGAAAAAAAGGTAAGAGGACAGATGGGGAACGGGTGAGGAGACAGGAGGACGAGGGATGAACACGAAAGGGGGGGGAGGCGGAGCAAGAAGAAGCACAAAGACGGATGAAGAGAAGGAGGGGGGGCCAAAGTGGAAACGGGGAGAAGACGTCGCCCGTCTTCGCATCGTGTCGTCGCGTCGTCGGCGGGTCAACGGCGAGGGGGGGGACGAACGCAAGGGGGGTAGCAACCCGCGCTGTGCGCCCGAGGAGGAGGCGGGAAGGAGGAGGAGAAAGGGGAGGAGGAGGAGGAGGAGGAGGAGGAGGAGGAGGGGGAGGAGGAGGAGGAGGAAGGGACGGAGGAGGAGGAGGAGGAGGAATAATAATAATAATAATATGAGGAGCAAGAGGAGGAGGGGGAGGATTTTTTGTTAACATCAACCGCCAGTGAACGCACGGAGTAGCCCAGGCCACTCTCCTGTACCGAGGGATCTTGGGGCCCCGCCAAAAAAAATACAGAGGACCTCGCAGCAAGAGAGGCTCTCGAACCTCCACTGGGTGACACGAACAAGCACAGAATAGCAAAAGCATCAAATGACCGATCAGGGGCCACGCTCAACGGTAACCTCTGTTCTTTTCGGATGTTTCCCTTTGCAAATGGAAGACCAAGCGCTTTCGGCTCCATTGGACTGCGGACCCCCATGACACTTCCCAGACAGATTCCGAGGGTGGCCGTGGCTGGTGTATGCTTTACATCTCGTGCACACGATCAGCAACGCATTATCAGAACATCGCCATGAGAACTACGCTGATCTGGATCGGGAACAAACCACGTGCACAAGACTCCATGATGCTCATCATTTTGGCCAACACCACCAAACACCCGTCACTCAGACTGCATACATGTTTCATGTGGAACCCGTCCATCGTAGTTGCCGTACGGGTGGCGTAACGCCTACTCGAAGCCCTGAGCACATCATGTTCGAGTTCGGGGAGGAGCTCCATATAGTCGAAAGTACGGTCAGAAGTACGGGACCCGGACGCCTTCCAAAGTTTGCCAAGTTTCCGAGCCTCGGTATCCAGGAGCGCCAAATGATCGGACACGACAAACCATTCACAACTGAGCGTGGTGGTGGGCTCCCAGTGGTCAGGGCCACGAACCAGCTGATGAGCCCTGCGAGCCCCCCCTATCCACCGAATCGAGAATCCAAATCTTCCAATCCTTGATGGCATCGGCCTTGGACTTGGAGGCAAACCCGTTAAAATAAATCTCGAGAGGCTCCAAGAACTCCTCCCCCTGGGCGGTGTCCAACGGGAAGGAAGAAGCAATTGACCTCACACGTTCATGCCAGTCCGCGTGCGCTGCCATCCCCTTGGCGATGAAGTCGGGCGGCGACTGCATAAGGAGGACCAACTCGCGGACCTGATCAGAGTCTTCCTGAACAGCCGACAACTGAAGGAGGAACCGAAACTTAGAAATCAGCCATGTTATAGAAAACAAATCAGGCTGACGAATGGGGGCCTGTTTGTCCTGGATCAAGATGTTAACCCCATGCATCTGGGGGGTTTACCTCGACCGCCGAGGCAGGGAAGGGTGATGTGCCTAGTACCCAAGAGCTCCTTCTCGGCGAGGCATGCCCATTGCTTGTAGAGAAGATCCAAGGCCTCCTGCACTGGCTGCACCTGGCCTTCCTTGCACTGCTGCTGCAGCCGCTCAGCGGCATCAATCGTTCGATCATAAGATCTGGCGCAGGTCCCACGGCTGGATCTACAGGGATCGGAGGGGGCTTCCGAAAAACAAGCCCGTGGAGAAGACCGAGCCCGGCGTAGAAGTCCATCTGCACCGAAGGTGCGGGGTGATGTTCGAGGTCGTGATGGCGGAAATGCTCTGCACTCCCTTGGCCAGGCCGCCGGTCACCAGGAAGAAGTCCAGGATGTTGGCCCCACAAGTTCCCAATATACCTTTGGGAACGATCATCTGAGCTCGAAGCCGAGACACCATGCCAGAAGATTCCAACACTTCAGGTCTACAATTATAATCGCCTCCCTGAATCGATGGTAAGGACACCTCCTCCGCAAGGGCCCCAACCTTCGCCAGAAAAGAAACAGTTGCTTCTGCAAGACCTTCATAATCCCGCAGATATGTGCTTGCCACGAAAAAAACGTTCACCGCCAGGGACGTTAATAATGCCTCCCACTGCCCGATGCGGTTCGATGAGGTGGGACCCAGGAAGCCCAGGGTGATGCAACCCAGGCCCAAACCGCACCATGATACCGACGCCTCCTGAGGTCCCGTGGCCGATTCCCCGAGAAGCGGGTATAAGCAAAGCAGGCCAGCCGTGTTGTCGAGCCCACGCCACGGCATCGTCGATGTCTGGCTCGAGAAGATGGTGCTCCTGAATCAAAAGCACGTTCGCAGTGACGTGTGACAGCCTCTTCATGAGACCTCCTCCTTCTTCAGATCTCCAAGATGAAATATTGATCGTCTGAACGCTCACTTTGAAAGACGAATATCCAGGGCTGGCGGTGAGAGAAAAAATGGGAAGAAGAGCGGCAGACTCGCCTGGTCAGGAAGCAACGCGCCGCTGGAGAGGGAACGAGGCACCGAAAGAGAGGAAGGCCTTCCTGACTGCGGCAATGGGGCCCCTGCCAACGGCTCCGCAGGACTGCCAGCTTGCAAAGGCGCGGACGGGGGCACGCTGGTCGAGAAATCCGCCCGACCGACAAAAAGTGCGGTAGGGCTTCGGATAGAATCACCGAGGCGTCCAGAGGAGGAAGTAGAGGTGGACGAGGAGGAGGAGAAAAGGGGAGAGCGGAGGGGGGGAGACTGGCCGCCACACGATGGCCAGCATCACTGTCGCCATTGTTGTGATGGCGAGAGGCAGCGCCACCAAAATCTGATGAACGAGAGTCTCGTGGTGCGGATTGCCCCCACTGGGGGTCAAAGGAGGAGGAGGAGGAGGAGGAGGAGGAGGAGGAGGAGGAGGAGGAGGAGGAGGAGGAGGAGGAGGAGAGAGGAGGAGGAGAAAGGGGAGGAGGAGGACGAGGAGAGGAGGGGGAGGAGGGGGTGAAGGATGAGGAGGAGGAGGAGGAGGAGGACAACGAGTATGCATAGGAGGAAGAGGAGGAGGAGGAGGAGGAGGAGGAGGAGGAGGAGGAGGAGGAGGAGGAGGAGGAGCGGGAAACGAAGGATGAGGAGGAGGAAGAGGAGGAGACGGAGGACCAGCGCTCATATTGGGATGAATCCCGATTGTCTCTGGAGCTCGTGCCACGTTATGCAGCAGAGCCCATCGCCTCCAATTCTCTCACTAGCTGGGCCAGCGGGATCGGAGGCTTCAATAAAATGGGCGAGTTCGCCGTGCCTTTGGGGTGCCGTCCTTCCCCTGCTCGTTGTCGTTGCAACAAGCGTCCATTTGTAGGCGGGGAACATTCACCTCTGAGGCCACGGGTTCCTTCTGAAAACGAGCCGCACTTCCAGCACATAATTATACTCGAGGGTCTATCATCGAGATATCCAAGAAACATCGGTTTATGGCCTCGTGGGTTGGCCAGCAGCTCATGGTGGTGGGCACAACAACCAGGGCACTGTTCCTTTTCGCGGCGCTTCAAAGCATGGTCCGAGGCCGACCTCTGACGACACACAGCGCACAACCACCCATTGCCCCATTGATGCCACTGGTGTGCCCGCCTGGGCATTGCAAGCTCGTCCCCAGGGACCGACGGGGGAGGAGGAGGAGGAGGACTCGAAAGAGGAGGCACCTCATGTCCCCAGGCGGGCTGAGCTGCGGCCGCTCCCACGGGCGGGTTCAAACTTTCTCTGGCTTGGCAAGTCCTTTTGATCCAGCCTTCGGAGATACCGCAGGCCAGATCTGAAGGGCTTCTGAAACATATATGAGGCATTTCTTTAAAAGGGCCGCCTGAGCAATCTGTTGCTCGAGTTCATTCGTACTTAACTGGTGACCCCTGGCAGCGGCTATCTTCGCATATCGATCAGCCGCGTCGTTCCCTTTAGCTCGTCGCCACTCCTCGCTGCCTGGGGTCAAAGATTCGATATCCACATGCGCGTTGATGTTGTGGAGCCTGGGGCCGATGGGGGCCATGCTGGCCCTAGCCAGGACCTTAAAGGCACCGTAAAAGTCAGACCGAGAAAACTGCGGCTTTTGGTGCACAGCAACTGCTCCTTTATAGTCAACAAAAATCTGGGTGTGTGGGGAGGCATTCAGAGCAGCAGCAAGCACACCGCAGTGCTCAGCAGCAGGGGAGGTAGGAGGAAGGAGGTTGCCCACACGCCCCATCATATAAGCCGAGACTTCAC